CACTGAACCGTCACCTCAGGAGAATGGCACTGGCTGCAAATTAACTGGTTGAGATCATCTCTCATTTATCTTTTTGCTCTCCTCACAAAACATGGCAGCAGATTGCTGGACTGGTATGATTGCTAGACTAATTTGGCAGCGTGAGCTGCAGGTTGGGACGAAACGGCCGCTGGACCTGCAAGCGTGTGCATGCAAAGACACATTCGAAAGTATGAGTCTTGCAGGGGTTTTAGGTACAGAACGGTGCAGCTTTAGGGAAGACCTAAGCATAGAAAGTAGTAAGTCAGGAGTGAGAGGTGTCACTGGGACTTCATGCACAATGGAGGAGGAGGGAATTCAGAAAACTCAGCTAACGTTTGAGGGGGTGTGCCATTTGCCTCATGAGGGAGGGTACCACATGAAGTCCCACAGGCTCCAAAATGCACTCAATTAGCTGTTCCTTTTACCTTTTTGTTCTACCCAGCATTTCTTCAAGAGCACTGTCATCTCTGGCTTTGGCATCCTACTCATCATCTATGAATTCATGTTGCCGTTTCCTCCCTGAAAGGAAAAAGTCCCATAGTCAGTCATTTGCTACACAGAGGAAAGGACAAATTTGACAGAGTATTTTTGCCACTGTTCAAGTTCAAAGACCACTGCTCCTTGAGCAGACAATACTGCAAGTTGTGTTCTCCTCTATGGTGTCATTCATCTGAAATCAATCAGCCTGTGTTGACTCTAGAAACTTATCCCAAATTTACCTGTAAGCAGCTGAAAAGCTGTCAGTATCTCAGACCTGCCTGGAAAGAAAGAGCAGGGCAATGACTCACCCAGAGTAAAAAAATCCCAGCAACAACAACAGAGACTTGCGCCAAGCAAATATCTTTATTTTACTTTGAAACATTCTGAAAGTGTTACTCTATATGAAAAAGAAGCAATACAACACTGAGAGAGCACGCTTAATGTTAGGGAAGCCTTCATTTCATATCACATGAGCCAAATTAAAAATAAAGCTAAACACAAGCGTACAAAGCAGAGACAAAAAAAAAATCAATTTTCTGAAAGAGATAACATGAGGGGCTCCCACAGGGGCTGGCAAATTCTGGAAGAGAGAAAGAGATTATATTTTATGGGAAGAGATTCAATAACCATTCTTTTCCCATAAAGCTAGTGATGGAGGATTGTCACTGCTCCATAGACACACTGTGCACATTTCAGGACAACAGTAACAGAAAATCAATAGCATCTTTTATACGTGAAAAGACATTATCTCTATGGACTCCTAATACTAACAAATGGGACCAAAGAAGACCTTTACTAAAATTTAGTAGTCAGCATTAATCTGGCTGATAAGAGAGGGGTAGTATGCTAGTCTACATCCTTGGATTTTTTTTTTTTTTTTTTTAAAGAAATAACTCTGCTCAGAGCTTCACCCTCCACTGAAGCCAAAGAGCCCCCAGATGACACTACATTAAAAGTCTAACAATGTTGAACCCTGGCGCTGTCGCTCGAAAGCCCCATCGGCATACATTTCCTCTCTGGCTGATGGCTGTAATCATTAGGAGGTAGGAGCTTTATCAGGTGGTAATTTGACAGCTTTGACAAGCTCGGCTGAATTTATGGCACTTTCTAGTTTTTCCCTCCATTGAGCTGAGATGGAACTAAAGTTAATATTAGCAAAAAACACTTTGTGCGGGGGCAATTTTCCAGCAATGACTACATGATTCCAGTTACTAAGAAAATCTGCTAAACAAGGCCTCCTCACAGTCCTTTGCCACTCTCCCCAGACTAGGGAAGATGGTTCCCCATCCAGCCCACTAGCTTAGATGAAAGATTCTGTACATGGAAGGAATCTCTGGTATCACTGGCTCTAAAGCAGCAGAAGTGAGTCAATTCTGGAACAGCTCTGCACCTTGTAGAGGAGCCACTAGCATCCCAGAGAAACACAAGGACGGATGTTTCCCTTAGCTTAAAAAAAATAACTTTCAGCTCCAAAACCAGTTTTCCAGACAGGGACATTCACAGTTTGCTGCTCCATTTTTCACCACGCAGCACTGTTCACTGGTGCCTAAGCTCAGGAACGCTGGCACTTCAGATGTACCCTTCCAACATGTCCAGATAGACTGCGAAAGCCCTCCTGAAGGACCCTCCTGAGCACATTCTGCTACCCACTGCTTACCCAGAACAAGCACCTAACCCAAGTTCATGAACTCAACACCTCAGGCCAAGAATGGTGATGTTCAGGATCATTATGCTCAACTCCCTTTCCAGGTGCAGGCTAAAAGTCTTTTAAACAGAGCACATAGTTTCTTTTCTGTCTGTAAAAAATCAAGCAACAATGAGAGTTTCTTATATTTGCATGGATCATACGGTCCACTCTAAGAAAGAACCTAACCAATTACATCTGAGGAGGAGCAATGCCAGTAGATTGTAACCTCTGGAAAACACCAGAGCTGTGTCAGGACACTAGTAAGGCTACTCACAGTTTACAAAAGGAGCACACTACACACACTGGAACAGAAGCCGCAATGTCACGTGTCTGACAGCACACGGGTCGGCTAAACCCAGGATCTGATTCCTGGGGTCTGCTCCTCTCAACACAAAAATCACGTCCCACACAGCACCACGATGCTTTCTTGTGTGGTGTGAGGAATCTGCGAGCAGTGACATGGGCAAGAGGAACACTGCACCCTGAACCAAAACTTGGCAAGTCAGTAAAGCACAAACAAGTACTTTTTTTTTTCCCCCCAAATTGCTTTTTGCCCTAGATGTTACATTTCCTCTGTTATAATCTAGGGTTTTAAAGAGCTCTCTCTGCATGCTTAGAAAGCACAGTTCATATTTAGCTCCCTAAAGTCGTATTTCTCTCTTCCTATATTTCCCTGCCAAGATGTGACATCTGTGGACTGTTCCCAAAAAATTCCCCTGAATCATCTGTGATGCATGCGAAACAGCGGCCAGAGCTGGCAACAAGCAGCTGTGTCTTTTAGGAAAGTGTTAGATCAATCTGGTAAGGGGAAGGATTCCCAGTAACTCTGCCACCAACACCCCCGAGGACTGCACAATTCCCAAACCACGTTAGAAAAAGAGCACAATTACGACAGGACCAAAATCCATGGGAAATAGCGTTGCCACAGCAACTGGCATCCTCAGAACTCGAGTCTTCTTTGCATTTTTGCACAGACTCAATGACTCCTAAACCACGTGGAAAAAAAAAAAAAATGAGCCTAGCAGGTGGGTACATTCAGGAAAAGGATGCTGCCAGGTGATTCCCTGTAAAACAGACCCATTTCTACATGGTTGCTCAGAAATTGAGCCTTTGTGGATCTCTTGTTCCAAACACTGCATCTCACTTACTACAAGCACAGAGGAACTTCCATAACACAACCAACACTTCCTTGTTAACTACCCTTGGACAAGAAAAAAACTTATTAAATATTAAAACTTTCCTGTTTTCAAACAAAAGTTACATGAAGATAAAATCCAGAACAGATTGGCTGAGCTTTGGAATGGGAAAACACAGTTTCAGCTTCACACTAGACTGTATTGGTGTTATTGAGTGGTCTTTCAAAAGCTCCTCTTTGAGGACAGCAGTACTCTAAAATCACTCCGGCACCCCCTACACAAACATCACACCCAGTCACTGGGGAACATCCAACCGCGAGCAGGAAAGGCCTTATTTTTCTTCCTGGCTGCCTCATCACAGCGATAATGCCAACAAACACCCAGTGTGTCCACCAGCACGCTTTATAACGAGGCACAGGTTAAAGCACAGACCAGGAAGCCCTTCTGCTAAAAATTCTGTCTGCTCCCCACACTTTTGGGGCATTTCCTTCCATTTCGCTACTGGATAAGACTTGGTGAGTGCCCTCTCCTGGTTAACCCGCGATCAAGACTGTCTGCTCTTTGGAGGGCAACACAGCATTCTCTGCTCTGTGGTGAAAAGCCAAAGCAGCTCTACTGACTCAAAGAAAACTGCTCCAGATTTATACTGGTGACAAATAAGAACGAGGTCTAGCCCTGGTTTACTCCCTGCCAGCTGTTTTGTGCCAGCAGGTTTGACATTGCTGAGCTGATCTTCTGCTCACCTCCCTGTTCTGTGCAAGTCAGAAGATCTGACCTCATGACATTGAGCTGCAACAGGCTGCAACGTTTCTCAGCTAACCTCTGCAAGTCAACCTCGTAAGAGCCAGGAGCTACTCATGAAATAAAGACACTCTGGGCACAAAACGCTGTGGAAATGATCCTCTTGCTATGCCAAGCAAGAGGCCTTGGGGCAACGTCCTGGACTCCTGGGCCCGCGAATAAGAGGCAGCCCTTTTTGGGGGGCACGTCTGGCGGGCAGGCTGCAGTCTCGGCGGGACCCCCACCGCCAAGGCGCTCCACCGCCAAGGCGCTCGACGCCAAGGGCGAGCACCGCCGGAGGGAGCCTACCACGGCCGGCGGCACCGCCTGCGGCCGCTCTCCTCCCTCTCTTACCTAGGGACGGAGGGGACGGAGACCCCGACCACCCGCGGCTCCGCCGGCCCGGGCCCCGGGGCCCGCTGGCTGCTGTCACTACCGGCCGCCACTCGGCCCCCTCCTCCCGGCCAGGACGAGTGCGCGGGCACGGAGCGACGCCTCAGGGCGCCGGGCCGCCGCCGCGGGGAACAGGGCCGGACC